CAGTCATTCATTCGAATCCAAACACCCAGCGCCGACCCAGGGATCTTCTTCGGGTTATTAAAAATCCAAATGTCGGCATCTTCGGGGTTTTGCTTGTTGCTAATATTTGTGTTTTGAAAGGCTGAGTGACTACATGTGAACAGGGCAAAGGGCACATCGCTCGTTACCTTTGCCTTCCACATGAGCCAGAGTTTGAAGACATCCACATGTCTGCCACACTGGATGCTCTTGTCTCCGGTATCGTAGCTCACATCATAGCATTTGTCTTTCTGGAAAAGGTACGGCGCGCCCAATTCGTTGCATTTTTGCAAGAGGCCCTGTGGACAAGTACGAGACGTTGCTTGAGCTGTCGAAGCGACATGGGCAACATTTAGATTCAACTTTGAAGATGCCTCGCACTGGTCACAGAAGGTACGAAAAACAAACAAAAAAACATGTATACACCGTGTGGAGAATTTTCCCATTCTTAGGAGAATCAGACCATCCATTTTCTTGTTATCAGTTGAGAATCCCCTGCAAATAAATGCCTCAGCATGTCCCAAATCCTGTCGATATTTACCAAGCTACAATGCATGCAAAGCGAATCTTACTTTCTTCTTGATCAGTATCGCTGAGCACTGCAGGGGAACACCCATCATCTTGTGAGGGTTCCACGTTACTGACCACGCTCTGGAAAACAAGCCATTTGTTTCCTAAACGGTGTCAACAACAGTCCCATTACGGGACTTGCTCGAAAACACATGCATGTGCATGCATGTGTTGGGTTTCCTCATGCCGCTACCTTTCAATGCCCTGGAGCTTCATCCTGTGTCGGTCGGACAAAAGTAAGCCTCCTCCCCATGACGCCTGCAAGGACAGACAAATAACAGCCGGCGCACGCCAAATGCAGAAGTGCAGGTCGGAGAGCCTATGAGCCCCGTTCGGGTCACGAGCGCCGAGCACAAGCTAACCCTGCCCATGGGTCGGGTTTTCAGTGTTATTTGGCTCGATGGACGATAGGGCGAAGGGGGGAGTTTGCGCCGTTGTGGGAGGGAAGACAGGCGACTCCCGGCCAATCCGAGCGGCTCCCTTCATTAAGACATTCAAATTCTGCAAAGGCGCAGGCAGACTACACGCATGAGGAAGGACTTGCTGGATTCCCTGCGGGAGATCGACGAGCGCAAAGTGCATTTATGGTTAAAGGAATAGCAAGAAGATTTCCGCTTGTGTCCGTGTGGCAAACCGTCCCTACCGATTCACGCGCACGCAGACAGCGTGCGGGGTGCGATTGGAAATACTTGGAAGATGAGAGTGCTTGATTTCTACAGTGACTCAGAGGGATTGTCAGCTTCGTAGGTGGCTCGCAACTATGACTGAGCACGTACGAGCGGCAGCAGGTCGCCGAGTGGTCGTGACGGTTGGTCAGGCGTAGGTGCCAGATGTACTCGGGCTGCCAGATTTCATGTTATGATGTTGATGTTGTTCTAGCATTTTAAAACAAAGAGAGTGAGACTCCTACGTCCACATGCATCCATAGAGTGTGTCTCTGACAGATGTCCGCAATGGCGTGGAGAGGATCAAAAGCTCCATACAAGGTCGTGCCCGCTGTTGCATTCACGTAGAATGGAACCATGTTCTGGAAGAAGAACATTCACAAGTATGGACCAGCTTTCATCTTCTTTCACAGGTGGGCTTGTTCACTCTTACCTTTTCTTCAGCCGCGAGAATGGAAGCCTCGAGCTCTTCTGGAATCATTTTCCCTCTGAAAAGCCCCAAAGCAGCAGTAACATTTCTGTCGATGCGCTACCTACGCTACATCGATCCCGATAGCTTTCCAGGTCGACCAATGTATGCAAAGAAATCGATGACTATTCAAACGTGACAATTGAACAACGTTCGGATGTCCACACCATTATGATCACTCAATCATCTGATGGGATCCCTCCCCCAAAAAGAAAAACAAGGCAGTGTCCAATAAGAAGGAAGCCTTTTGGTTGACTTTTCTTTCGTCTCACATGCACGCCACGCGTTGACCACCTCCATCATCTCATGGGCTCTCATTCAGGTCGCTATTGAGGCTGCCGTCAATTCAACAATAGGTTTGATCAACCAGCTG